GCCGCGCCCCGGTCGCCCAGGCGGTCCAAGCCGAGCCGCCGCCCTGCCCTCCCGCCGGCCGCGGCTCCCGTCCTGCCCCTCCCTCGCCCATTACGGCTGCTGTCCCTCGCCTCGCTCGCTTTTGCCTGTCCGCCCCTCCCCTCGCGCTCATGGCCACGCCCCTGCACGTCCTCGTCCCTATGCCGTGCGCCGCTAGCCGCTGTGCCCGACCGCCGTGGCCTCCCTTGCCCGTCCGCACACGCGCTCGGCCGCCCGCGCCCGCGCTTGCGGCCGTTCCTGCCGCTGCGTTTCGCTACTCTGCTGCCGCTGCTACAGTAACTGAATGTTACTGTAGCGCTGGCTAGCTTTTGCTATTTCTACCTTCTTAGCTCTCTGGATGGCAACAAAACTATGGTCAAACAAAGTCTAACTTCGTTGAAATTAATTTGTATGGGGAGTACACATGACAACCTCCAAATTATTCCATTGGACCAAATTCAAATACGGCATGGTTTAATTCCTATAAAAATGACAAAAGTCTATGTTATGTTAAGAGAGGAAACTGAAAAACAGATTTACTGTCTTCACTACTTCAGAGCTGTAAATGGACCTGTTGCAGGAGCTGTTCATGCCATCTAGTGGCATGGCCTTGTAGTACTGTTGGTGTAGAGTAAAACACTTATATGTAGTGTCTTCATTAGAAATACATAACATTAGTTATAGTCTTCGAAAAACAACCAAGTGAAGTTTTAAAAAAAACGGAACAATTCTAAGATTAGCCAATTTTCAGGAATTTGTGATATGTCATATGATGAAATGTGATGAAATGTGTGATATATGAAATGACAGTTTTAAAGGTTGGGGTTGAGGCAAAGACTAGAACCCTTAAAGCAGTTTACGGGTTGGGTTTGAGGGTTTTAGTCTTTGCCCCTGTTTTTCAACCCTTAAAAGTGTCAAAAACTGGCACTTCTCAACCCTTAAAAGTGCTTTTTAGATTTGAGGGTTTGAGGGTTCTACTAGTAATGCTCTTAGTTACCTGGAAAAAGCGCCGGCAGCCGGACGTTTCCACGCCCCCATCGTCCGCCGGCGATGCCGTGCAGCGTTCTTCGGGTGCGCCCTTCTCGACGTCCAGCAGCGGCGCCTCCTCCGTCGCCTCGCAGCCGGACGCGTCGCAAGGCGTCGAGGAGATCCGCTGTGCCATTGGGGGAAGAGAGACGGCGACGAGCGGGGCTTTACCCTAAATCGACCTCGCGTGCGAGTTAATATCGGAGACGTGGGCACCGTGAAAATAATCATTAGGGCTTTAAATTAACAGGTTTGCTATTTCACATCTAGATGTAAAATAGTTATCTCACATCTAATTTTCTAACCACATAATTTAAACATCAAGATTCGTATTCTTTTGTTCTTTTTTCTTTTTGTTTCTTTAGCATTTTTTTTTCCTTTTGGTGTTGTTTCCACACGCGTTGCCCACGTGAGGAGACCCCCCGTAGTGGCATGTAGGCCGTTCTTTGTTTTTTCACTGCCTTGTGGTCGTGGGTTGCCTCGGCGTGGGCTGCAGCCACGAGTAATTTTTTATTTTCTTTTTTGTTTCTTTTTCTCTTCCCTTTTTTTGTTTTAATTTTTTATTTATTTTGTTTCCAATTTGTAAACATTTAAATTATGCAATTTTGTTATTTTCTATTTTCACTTCAATTTTTTCTTTTATATTTTTTTTTAAATCATGGATTTTTTTCATTGTTGTTAGTTGACTGTTCAAGATCAAACAGAGGTGTTGTCAATTTTCTTATCTCAGTTGCAAGATCACACTCGGCTCACTACTGTGGTCCGAGTTTTTTTTTGTCCCTGTTGCAATACCACCCTTGACTTGCAACTAGCCCTTGATATTTTTTGTCTCAATTGCAAGTTCACCCTTGATTCGCAACTGGGGCGCGACCATTTTTTGTTCTAGTTGCTAGTCCACCATCGACTCGCAACTAGGGCCCGGTCTTTTTTTAGTTGATAGTTCAACCTTGACTCACTAGGGTTAACTTTTTTGTCCTAGTTGCAAGTCTATCATTGACTCGCAACTGGTCCTAACCTTTTTTATACCAGTTGCAAGTCCACCCTTGAATCGCAACTGCGGCCTGAACTTTTTTGTGTTAGTTGCAACTCCACTCTCTAACTTGCAATGGGGTCCAACACTTATTTTGTCCTAGTTGCAAGTTCACCCTTGACTCGCAACCGGACTCCGACCTTTTTTTGTCCCAGTTGCAAGCTCACCCTCAACTTGCAACTAGGCCCATAGTTTGTTGTTGTCCCAGTTGCAAACCCGCCCTTATCTCGCAATTGATAATTCTTTTGTTTTCCATCTCAGTTGCAAGTTCACCCTCAACTTGCAACTCGTATCATTGTTTTATATACTTCTCTTAGTTGCAAGTCCACCCTCGACTCGCAACTAGGGCGCGACATTTTTTTTATTCCAGTTACAAGTCCATCCTTGACTCGCAACTAGGCTCTAACCTTTTTTTATCTCAGTTGCAAGTCCACCGTTAACTCGTAACTAGGCTTTGACCTTTTTTTGTCCCAGTTGCAAGTCCACCGTCAACTCGCAACTAGACCCATAGTTTGTTGTTGTCTCAGTTATAATTCCACCCTCGACTCGTAATTAGGCACGTAATTTGTTTTATCCCAATTGTAATTAGGCACGTAATTTGTGTTCAAAAAATATTCGATAATTCAAAATTGTTCATAATTTGCAAAAGGGTTTCAATTAATTTAAAAAATGTCTTCTAATCTC